ATTTGTAAACATTTTGCCTTGAACCAAATAGTCTTTTTCCTTCAAGGAATGGTTTTCATTATAACTTGAAAGATTTGTAAGTCAATTGGACAATKGGAGTAGGGAGAAAAAGTGCAAGTTTTCCTGTGGCACTTGCTTGGTTGTTACTGCAAAATATTGCAAAGAATATTACATGAGAATTGAAAGATATTCTACTTCATACAAAGAGCAAATAAAGGAAGCTCATCTCTGCCCTTAGAGACCACTGTAACGTGCTGCTGCCTGGAGAAAAAACAAATGCAGAAAAGGAGGAAAAAAAGGAGAAAAAAGGAGAAAAAAATTTTCAAATCAAACTGGAAATGACTGCCACAAGGAAGCCCCCCAGTAACACATGGTGGCATCTGAAACCTCTCAGTTTCAGGAAGGCTCAGTGGGTTACAAAGGGATGATGCTTCAGTGCAAGCACTGCCTCAGACTCTAGTTCAGAAATCCAGCAAAGAAATGAGGGACTGGGGCCAGAGGGCTGGAAGGATCCAACCAAAATGTAACAATAACTTGTCCAAGCACAGATCAGCACTAAAAATTAAGAAAGCTAAAGGTTTACATAATTAAAGGTGTGGCGGCTCCAGAAAAGTACATGAGCCCACGGGGATTAAGACTGGCCTAGACCAAAAAGGGTTACTTGGTGATAAATAACCCTTAGAAATGGTAATTATGTTATGCCCTAATGTTATTTACTGCCTAATATTGTTCACTGTGACTCCTTTAATTAATCTACCTGACATTCTCACTAACTCTTTCCTTTTATCCTTTGCTGAGATTAAAGGTCCTTTTTATCTTATTGCTTTTATGTTCATTCTTGGGTGAATCCAGTATTAAATTAGATGTCTGTGTGCATTTTGAGCACCTGTGGCACTCACTTTTGGGGTTCACAGCAATCTTATTGCCCCATTTAAAATCATTAGAAATTCCTGACAATCCAACTTTCCTGGTCATTTTGAAAGCAGTTTACACAAGACAGAAGAKCAGTTCCTAAAGTATTACATTTCCCAGTTCACGAAATCCTTTAAAGTGACTGCATCCTTTTAGGCTCACAGAAAGCCTCTGTGTTTTTTCAAATCAAGATTTCTCACTAGGCTCTCAGTCACTCCAAGAAGCTATCTAGCTAAATTACCCAGTAATTTTCCTTTGCTAGTTTGCCCAAAAAAACTCATGAACACCCCACATTATTATTACCCAAGAATGTTTTTTCTCTGTCAGGATATCTTTGAACTGCTTTTAATTACTCTGACTGGTCAAGCTCTCTGCTGACAATGCTCCAGTTCCCTGAAGCAGATCTTCTGATGACTGAGGAAAGAAATAAATAGTATTATTTCACCTTGTAGTAAATTGCCTATGATCAGCCCTATGCTGCAAATCATCATCACATGGCTCTTTATGATCGTGGTGCTGGTTCACCAGAAACATTTTATCCTGTAACACAGACACTCCAAGGCAARTTGAACAAATGACTTGTTTACAAACAGTTTAATGAGGAGTAGCCATGACACACACAACACTTTCCTTTCCCCCTGAAACAAGCACACTTCATATTTTCTTTATACAGGTGATTCCTCTGTGAAGGTCTTTCAAACCTTGCAGCCACAGAACGAATTCACATTCCTTTCTGTGTCTTCCAGAGCCACCCCAGGGAGGGTGTGACCCTGGCTAGTGCTGCCCCCCTCTCCTGGGGGTGTCTCATCTGACTTCAGCCTCTTCCCCCACTTGGGTGCAAACCCAGCTCCCCAAACCCGGCAACACCAGCTCAGCTCCCAGGACCATGCCCAGGGGAGCATTTTCCTGCAGCACTGCTCAAGATCAGACGAAGCTCTCCACGAGCATCCAGCCTCATGTCTCTGCTTTCCTCTTTTGTGATCCCTCTGTCTGCAGCCCTGGAAAATGTGCTTGATTCCACCATCATTCAGAAAATAACCTTCCTTTTCTCACATAAATTAGTTGTCATTTCCCTCCTCTTCATCTGTAATCGTATTTTATGTCTGTATGGTATTTTAACAACTTTAAAGCAAATATAATAACAATTTCTAGGTGTTTTTTTCAGAAAATGTGATGGTGAGCCAGACTGTGGCTCATTCTTTTACCTGGCTTGCTTACCAAAGTAATCTTSTGCTTTGATTTCTAAGCTTTTGGCCAGGATACCTTTCTAGATCTGAGTTAATATAGCACTGGGTGCAAAGGGAGATCTTGCCCGGGGTAGAATGGTTAGACATATATTCTCTGGAAGTACTACTAACAGTAATAAAAATAAAAACAACAACAACAATAATAATAATAATAATAATAACAGCAAAATTTCTTCAAGGATACCACACATGGGGAGTGAGACTGTGGTCAAAGGATAAGTGTTATTAATTTTTTGATGAAATAGTGAGATGCTGTGGTGGAAAAAAAAAGAACAGTTAGAAGATTTTTTTTTTCTCAATTTATGTTTTATCAAACATAATGAAAATTCAGATTCATTTATATTTATGTTTAGTGATTGATTTTGCAATTCTTGTGAGAGTTGTCTATAATGACTCTTCAATTGAGCTGAATWCTTTAACTTACCTAAATGATAATATTTCTGCTATGTATTATCAAACTGTTGAACTAAAATGTGCAGAGACATCAAGAATTTTGATGTAAAACTGCAGCTGTTTGAAAATGTGCAGTGAATGTCATCTTTAGAGCATATTTTGTCATCATCCTGCTGGGCACTTAGGTATCTTCTGTTTTCCATAATCCACRTATCTAAAATATATAAAGCAGAATGAAATTCAGRAAAGACAGACATCAAGCTACTTGCATGACATTACAATTCTACATTACTACTGCCACAATGATAATAGCAAGTACCCCAGGCTATGAGCAGTGATAATCATACTAAGCCTAGCATAGATTCTCACTAAGATGATGATCTCTGTTCTGATGCCTACTGATATTAAACACCAATAAAATTGGGGCCCTTGTTGGGARATACTAATCAAACATATGTTSTGCCACACTGATCTATCTCTACTATTACCATGTAATAATGGTGCTCTGCAAGGCGCAGAGAGCAGTGCACAGCTTGATTCATTTTCCATTATCAGGTAATACACAAATTGAGCTGACTGTAGTATGGAATTTCTGTGCATGAAAAGGGAAGGTAAGAGGTGCACTAGTGTTRAAAAAGAGAAAGGACAAATGGGGAAAGTGTATGCCTGCCAGGGTGAGAAATTGGGGGCTTAGAACCATTAGCTTAGGAAAGACTGTAGTTATTTTTATTGCTTGTATTAACTAYCASTATGTAAGATGACTTGTGACAASGTAAAGGTGATGAATAGAAAAGGCRGCTGCATAGAGCGCTGTATTCCACTGATGTTTACTTACATTTCCATAAAAARTAGAGTAAAGCCTGAACAATTTGCATCCAATTAAGAAATCAAAATGGCAAGGTTAATCCAGAAAGACACTTGGAGCTGCTCTCACTTGATTRCAGCTTCATTTTTCCCATCATTCTCTTATGCTATGAGTACTTGAGTCTCCTGGCTGCAGGCAGAAACAGCTACAGACATAGAAGCTGCATGATTAATGTGCAATGAAGATCAGTTTCATTGAATGCTGCCAGTTGTTCTCAGTTTTCTAGAGCTGGTTCTCTTACATTTGTAAGAGGAAAAACGTGACAAATATCTCCAGGCAAAAAAAGTGAAACAAAGTACACTTGTTAGTAACTTTTAATTCTGCTTGTTAGACGTTGCTTTTCGTTCAATACCTTTTCGTTTAACATCAACAAATTAATGTTATACAAGTTAGTTTCTGATAGGCTATATGAAGATGTTTCATTTTCTGTTTTGTTCCCTTGTTATTTTTAGCTTTTTGAGGCAGTGYTATTCTACATGACTTGGAGACTTTGCCCAGTTTTGCAGTGCTAGTCACAATCTTTACTAACCAATGCATTTTAGATGTTAACATTGCTAGAAAGTGTAAACAGCTATACCCTTGAAAAGCTGAATTAAAAATTTGGCCAAGTTCATGGCTGCAGCTCCTCCTGGGGCCGTAGATGCTTGTCTTAGTTTTGGCACTTTTGATGGAAGAGACTAAAGATGCGAAGCCAGGCAGAAAACAGCAGCTGCAACAAGCCCAGACAGAAAGGATGAGGGGACACGATGATCCTCAGCAAACCGTCAGCTGCTCTGGGCACCAGTTCAGGAACTGGGCAGGGGCTCGGAGCGAGGGCAGCCTCTCTGTGTGGATCCTGTAGGGTCTGATATCAGCCATRGAAATCATCTTCCTTCGGTATCCACATTTCAGCCACAGCTGGTGGAGGAGAACAGGCCCTTACAGGATGTGATTCACTGCTTTTGATGACCCAAGTACCAAGCAGGCACTCCAACAGCATCATTCATACCATTTTTTGTTTCCTTTTTTCCTGCTTTTCTCTTTTGATACCACCATTTATATTTCRATAATGTATAGGTCCATATGCAGAACTCCCTAATTTTTCTGGTTGCACAGTTCCGAGGGAGACCACGTGTTCTTGACACAGAGATGTTTCAGAGGTGTTTCATATTCTGAAACTAACAGCTCAGTAATGTTAGATTCACTATTWTGTCTACTTGCAATAAGTATTTTGGTGCCAAATACCTGATCCAGGCATCTGGATTTAGTCTCAAGGTACCCTCACGAACTTTCATGGAAAAAAACCAGGAGCACCCACATTCTGCAAGATGTTCTCTGTGGCAGTTTTGTACAAAGAAGGGGCAAATTCAACATCGACTTTCTGTTGTCCTCTAGTGCYCACTTATTGAAAAATAAACTTTGCATGGCTGGATAAGAAAGAAAGAAAGAAGCATGAAGTTTAAAAAACCACGAAAGCTCAAACATCTGTTAAAATAACTATATTAATGTTGTTATTTGAACTCATATATTCCCACACAAAGTGCCCCTCATTGTAAATAAAAATACTTATCTGTCCCCCCACAAGAATTTTTGAAGGAAATTGGATTCTCTTCATTAAAAATTGAATCCTGGAAAATATTTGTTGTTAATACKGAAATGCCCATTTTGAAAAATATAATCAATATTTGAAAACTGACTATTTTCCTGTTTTCATTTATGGGAAATGTCAGCATAAAAAAAAAAAGAAATTAAAAACAACCAGTTTTTTTTCTCCTTTCTCAACTTTCCCATGAAAAGCAAATGGTATTTTCCTTCAGCTCTACTGGCAACAGAAATGTCAATATAGAAAGCCTTCAGGCATCAGACTGGGTTTCTCTTCAAAAGCATAAGGTTAATGAGTATATTGAGAATTGTCAGGAACTTACAAAACTGAAGGAACCTCAGATCCATCTGCTGGACTATTTGCTCGATGACTCACAGGAGTGTGAAAGGTTGAATTAGCAGCCCTTCCCTTTAAGGGGATTGATAACACTTGCTGATCTTCTGAAGATCCATCCCTCGCAGAGCTAGATCCAGCAGCTGGCTTCCAAGACATTAGCAATTCCCTGGAAGATGTGTGTAATCTCAATGTTAGAAGGCTTCACTTATCTAGTGAAATTTTCTTATTGATAAATAAAACAAGATATCAGATTTGAGAGGCTTTGAAAATGTGTCATCAGAACCCTTATATTTAAATATAATCCTAAGAAATACTGTGAGTYTATAACAGAGCTGGTAACTTCTTCACCACCACCACCACCACCACCCTGTATTCTGAACTATTATTTGCTTTTCAAAACACTATCTAAAAAACCCAAACCAAAACAAAACAAGAAAACCAACTGCAATATATATATGATTACATGTGCTAATGGATAAAGATAGCCTTTTGGGTGAGAAAATGGTAAAAATGACTGATCTTCAGAACATCCTCTGAAGAACGAAGTTATTGATCTCCGGTTTTGTAGTCTGTGAGATGTTTTTCATAACCCCATTCACATTAAGGAGAAATATTTGTTCTCAGGGGTACCACTTTTGAACAACTGCAGAAGTAGTAGCTGYAAATGTGGAAAAAGATGCCATCTATTCTTCATAAAAGTGTCACTGCCTAGCTCTATGACACAAGACAGCCAATGGTAGAGCCTGGATCAAAACAAAATTCAAGAGGGTATTTTTTTTTTTTTTTAAACTCTACTATATACTTGCATTAATGGATTTCAAACTTCTTTGAAGAATATGGAATGCTTAACAAATAACTTAAATCTTTAYTTTAAAATAATTTTTTTCCTCATATTGTGTGAGTAGCTACAGTGTTCTGTATGCATAGAAAGAGTAGAAATTTAGTACAGTTAGAACAAAGTTATATTTGAATCACASTTTGGCATTTCTCTTTTCCTTCTTAGCTGTATTTTTAATTTAAAACCTGTCTTTGTCTTAAATCACAATGTAAAGCTGCCGTGCTAATCAATTATTAACATTTGTGATCATCAGGCAAATTGTTTTTGTTACACTGATTTTTATCATGATCATTGTTCTGCATGTGTCCCTGATCGTTATCAGCCTGCAGGACGTGTCTGAGTAGAGACCAGGGTAATGCACAGTAGATCCTTGCAGACTGCAGGAACTGAATTGAAAGCTCTAGGCACTGCCTGAGCACCATGAACAGAATAGAAACCAGCTAAAATGTCATGCTAAAATTCCTTCATGTAATCTTAAATTCTCCAGAAACTTATCTTATGTATCTGCACAGACACAGTGAAAATCTCAGCGAATAGTAATTTTCTGGATTTACTGCATGACAGGAACATCAGGCGGTAAGTTAAATAATGCAGGGCACAGAAATTGAGTAAAAATCTTCCTGTGAGCCTGCTCATCACAGACATGYAAGCAGCTGGTTCCCACTGCAATTCCTATTTTCTTCTAAGCCTCCCCAGCTGGGAGAAGTGAAAGCTTTATCATGGTCACTGACAATCTGACAGATATCTGAGATAGGCTGTGAGTCAGTCCCCCATGCATCAGGAGGAACAGAAACCTCCCCATGAAGGATTGGCAGCCAGCAGCACCTTTCCTGCTTTGATTTCCCATTTCAGGCCCTGCACCTGCTCAGAGAGTGCTGCACCTCTGCATGGCACAGCAAGGGAGAGTTACACCAGCATCTCTCACACACTTGGTAAAGGTTTACGTGTAAAGTCTGAGTGTGTGATCCCTCTCAGAGCATGGCAGCTTTTCACATGAAAGGCAAAGACGTGCTCCTAAGGGATAAGTGATCAAACAGTTCAAGGCTCCCAGTGTCTCTGTGAAGGCTGCTGGTGGTGTTCCCATGTGCCTCACCATCAGGAATGATGGAACAGAGAGCAGATGGGGATGGTTTGATGCACCAGTGCTCAGCACCTTGTCACAGGGGCTGGGGYTGTGATCTGGGTCAGCCTGCAGTCAGAGGCTCGTACTGGCCAGCAGGCATGAGGGGGTGCCACCCCCACCCAGCAAGGGGCCAATTCTGGGTRCTGGACTCTTCCAAATGTAAAATGCTTACCATATGCAAGGATGGACTGAAAAATATTTTTCTGGCAGATTAAATAATTCCGGGTGTAGACAGTGGAATGGCTTACTGTGGAGAAAATAAAGATATATGTGCAAGTACAATTCGTTTTTTAATAATTATTTATATATTAATTCCAAGAAAATGGGGCAGAGGGGTGAGGGGAGAAGGCTGGGTAGTGTGAGTGGAACCAACTAAAACAAAGCAAAGAGAAGATTCCCAGTAATTGCAATGCAAGTTTCTGTATGACAGTCAGGCAGAGATACCACCTTATTTTACAGGTTGATGAGACATTTAAACGAGGTGTTAAAAATTCCATGCAAAGAGCGATGTGGCAGCCCCACTGTGTGAAGATGCTCAGTGATGAGCCTGGCAGGTAATCGATGGAGATTTGCTCAGGCCCATGCTCAGCAGGTRCTTAATGCTGCTGTAATCACTGCTCAAATGAAGCTACCTCCAAGCCTTGCTGCATTTTTTCAGAATCTGACGGAACCCCAAGACACATAGGAGATGTAAAGATACCAGGGCACATCTGGACAAGAAGCTGAYCCTCTTTTAATTCATGTTAGTTGCAGAAATTCATGGGTGTTCAAGAAATACAGGATGGATCCAAAGAATGATTTTATGAATGATACCAAGTGGAAAATTCTGTCCAAGTGAGCTAAATAGTTCAGAGACTCTCCCGTGAAAATGGATGACTTGCCAGCTTTTGTGGCAGGAAAGAAATATGTGCCCTTSTGTGCATGYRTGTGTGTGCTTGTGTGAGAATTGGTYTATATTGGTGCATATTTAAGCAGGAAACATAAGACAGGTATTGCAACTAATAAACTAGAGAGTTTAAATCTGTGAATTTGAAAGAAAACATTATGTTTCTTTAAAAGCCATAAGCTGATACAGAGTTTTGTCAAAAACACAGGGTAAAGTACTAGAATTCTTTTTCCCTGGTAATATCAATATAATTTATGTCATCATAACAAAAAGTTGGAAGTCTGTTCATCAAACAGATTGTGTCTGGGTGAGATTTTATGCTAATAAGTTAGAATTCGAAGTTTGATTTACTTGATGGATAATATAAAGAGAGTAACAGTGAAAAAGAAATACATTTTTAATATACTGCACTGCAGTCTCTGTAGTAAACCAGCAGATGAACTATGAAATTTATTTTTTAGATTTCATTAGGATTGTATTAAGATATATGAAAGATTATTATCCATATAGGTAAAATAAAAAAAAGGATCTGTCTATTGTGACAATTACAATTTTTTTTAAAAATCCTTTGAGGTTGGAGTTTCCTGCCGTGTTAGACAAGCTGGCTCGACTTAGTCTCAAACTACAGTAGATGCAATAATTCATAGCATCTGAATGGTAAAACAGTATTCCAGTATTTAAATTAGCATTTAATAGATGGCATGAATCATTTTCGTACTCATGCTTTTGCACATAGGACTGCACTGCCAAAAATGCAATGTTCTTGGTGACATTGTTTAAGGGTCTAATCTCATATTGCTGCTTCAGTAAGATTCCAAGGGCTGCAGAAAATGTGATGGGGTACACTGAACAAACTTATTACAAATAAAGCACTCCTCAGCTGTTTAGATAACTCTTCCAGAAGACAATTTTGACTTACATTTCCATACAGCAGCAGTRCACCAAAAAATATTTTTAATGAAAGTAAAAGCAGATGACAAATTGKATCCAAGTCCAAGTTAGTGAATTCTTGCAAAACAGTAAGTTTGAGCCATGACTATTTGTAATGTGATAAAATTAATGTAAATTTAATGGCTTTCAAGACACAAGCTATTAAACACCATACAAGCCTGGTAAATCTATTTGAAAAGTCAGTTGCTAGGCTTCTAGATCTTGCTACACTTTCAGAACTTGCAAGTCTAATTTCCAGCATCCCCAGCTGAGACTCAGAACTACAGCACAAAAACAATGAYTTCTTTAAGGTTTTACGTACCAGGGAGGGGAGTGAGTCACTATTGCAGGAGATTGCCAATATAATACAGAGACAGATAGACCGAGGAGGGAAAGGCCCACGCAGGGAGGGCTGAAGGAAGGGCGGTCTCACTGCTGTCACCCTGCTGTCCCCCAGTCTGCAGCCAGCCCTGCTGCCATCGTGGGGCTAAGCTGAGCCTGAAGTCATTCCCCACCCATTGGCTGGACTGACACTGGACTGACAGAGGGGSAAAATTTATTGTATAGGGAAAATATTAAACCCTCCTTCACTGGGAGCAATGGAAAATACCCAGTAGACAATAGCACCAATAGACCAAGAGATCTTTAAATATGTTTCTACTTTACAAAGAAACAAAAAAAAAAAAAAAAAAAAAGAAAAAAGAAAGAATTAACTGCAGATCTTTTTATCATGCTGAGCAAATTGCAGACTTCTGCGGATTGTAATAAAGCAGTCGCAGCATACCTGTCTCACTGGCTTTGCTCCCACTGAGCTATCTCCCAGTTCTCGTGAACTAATTTCCCTAAGCATCAGCAACTAAATGTTTTTCTGCATATTCAGCTGAAACTTTTAAGATTTTGGGTTTAACATATTCATGATGAAAATTCTTGAACTTCTATTAAAATACATGAAGAAGTCAGTGACCATTCCATGAAAAGCCTCCATGTTTTCACAAATCTGACAAAGATGCATCCCTTGATATGCAGTTTCTTTCATGCAGATACTGGGCTTGAATGAGCAGTCAACTCATCCCCTGCTTTCCCATCAAAGGTTCTCCATTGCTCCTTCAAAAAAAACCCAGCAGAATCAGCAGCAAACACAGCACTGGCATACTCCTGTAGTTGCTACTGTACCATGCAATCATGCCTTTAGACTTCCTACCCATTTCCTGGAATTTATGGGACAGGACGACTGATGCTATCTCACTCCGATGTTTTGGCCCTGGACCCTTTCTGAAAACACCACATCTCCAAAATTATGTTTCAAATCTGCAAAGAAAAGGTCTCCTAGAGAGGTTATGTATTTCTGTGCTGTGATATCATCAAACAGACARGTTACAAAGC